CGGGGGGCCGGCGGGCTCCTCCGTTTTGAGGATAGGCAGGCGTGCGGGTGGTGGGAGAAAGGGTGCCCCGGTGTGCAGGCCTGCTGCCTGCGACCTGTGGAACAGAGAGGGGGTGTTTACAGACCCCCGGGAGGGCTTTTGGCAGGGGGTGCTCTGCTATCAGAACTTGCCCCCTCTGCTCCCAGCCCCACGTCCGTGCAGGCGGACAGCATGGCACTGGCCTTCAGCACTGGGCACTAAACCCCAGCACTGGGAGTTGCCCCGGCAAGCCTGTCACAGCTCGGAGCAACCAGGGATTTTCCAGGAAATCTGTCTCAAGTCATCTTTCATTTTCCAGGATAATCCCACATATTAGAGATGAGGTCACTGAAAAAGCATGCCCTCAGAGAAGGAGCAGCTGGGTGCTGGCTGCCACAAGCAGGGACCATTTTGGCAAGCACGCCCACGCAGCACCAGCATGCCTGGTCCCCTGGCCTCTGAGACCTCCCCCCAGCCCAAGATTCTGCAAAAAGGGTAAAGGAAAAAGGCTGAGACAAGAGGTAGGTCAAGGCCAGGGGTCTGCAGTCTCCACACAGCTGAAGGCTGTCTCAGTACTGTGGGATTTAGGACACAACCACAGCCCAAACAGTGGCCTGCTGCCCATTCAGGCATATCCCTGCAGGAAAGGGAAACAAGGAGGCAGAGCCACCAGCAGCACACACAGCCCTCAGGCACCTCAGGTGAACCATGACACAAGCACAACCTCCTGGCTCTGGGGTCATTTGGCTCCAGTTTTTGGTTGGCATCACATGGTTTGAGAGGAGTTAAAGCTCCAAGGGCAACCTTTGGCTGACACAGGTTGTGCAAGACCTGGTGATGGACCGTGAAGGCCAGGGTGCCTGCCAAAGAGCAGGAGCTGGAGCAAGTGTGGGCAAGGCTGTCCTCACTGAACCACCCTGAACATGAAACTGGGGGGGGAGTTGTGGATCTGTAAGCCTCCCAGCAAGATGCCCTGGTGTATGAACACCACCACAGCCGCTTTCTCAGGAAGTCTTTGCTCGGCCCATTTCTCCTCCCACCAATCCCTGTGTTCAATACTGAGTGCCTCTGTCTTGGGGTGCCTCATGCCAGTGGCTGCTTAGGGGCATTGCTCTTTGGGGATGCTGGGTGGGGCTCACCTGTCTCCATCACCCCTAGGGTTTGGGATTTTCCTATCACCCTGAGCTGAGGAGCCTGACATCCCATGGAGTTCCCGTCCTCTTCTCTGCCACCCTCTCCAGTCCTTTCCACCCCACTGGGGCCTGTGGCATCTTTGGGACTACACCTGCACATGCTGGGAAACCCGGAGAATACTTAATTTGGTTTCTGACTCATCTCAGTCCTGGAGAGGAAGAGGCCCGGGGGGGATGTGAGAAAGGGGGTCACCTCTGCTCCCAAATTAGCAGGAACCAAGGACATGGGAAAAGGTTTCTAGAGCAGCTGAAGTTTTGAGGCGGGACGAGGCACCGTCTGCTCACCTGCCTCCATGTGCTTCCTGTTGCCTGTTGCCAAGCCATGACCACTGTCAGTTCCACTTTGATGCCCATCCATGCCTTAGTTGCTTCCTAACCACTTCCCTCTCTCTGAAACCCTGCAAAGCTTCACCTTGAGGTCCAGGTGGCAAAGGCCACACTATGATCCCATCCCAAAGCAGAAGCCACCATTTTCCTCCTGCTCTCCAAGACAGCTCCCAGATGTGGCTGCACACCCCTCTGAAGCATCTCTCCCATCTGCCCCTGCACCAAATCCTTCATGCCCTTCAGTGTCTTCTCTCTTCCATCAAGCAACTGGAGCACACATGCCTGCTGTTTGATCCACAGCCCACCCCATACCTGGGCTGTCAGGCACAGCATCTCCTGCCCCCATGCCCAAGCTCAGCGTCCCTTTCCCTCATGCCCTGGCTCAACATCTTTGTCTCCCATTTCCCAGCTCAGGATCTCTTTTCCCTCCAACTGGGCTCACCATCTCCTTCCCCCATGTCTGAGGAGCTCAGAGAGGCTCAGGGAGCACCCAAGCAAGACAGCCAAAAGCCAAGGCAGCCACCAAGCTGCTTCTCTGCTCCCATCTGTGCCCCATGTCTGACCACCCTGGCTGGCACTGGCGAGCAGCCTGGCAGCATTTGGGCAGAAAAAAAATGTGGTCCCCAGGCATCCCTGCAGGATCTGGCACCTTCCCAGGAGGTGTCAGGGCTGGACCAGCAGGACAATTTGTGAGCAGCAGCCCTCAGCTCTCTGCCGTATCATGGAGCTGCCACTATGAAAATGGCTCCACCACAGCATGTCTCCTCTGTGTGTGCTTTCATCGACGAGGCTTTTTGGTTTCCCCACCAGATTAGGGACAATGGAGGGTGAATAATGATGCTTGGAGCAAACTATTAGTATGCTGAGTGGGTTGGTTGGCACCAGGAGAAAGAGCTTCCTCTAACAGCTCTGGAAAAATGAAAGTTTCCCAGAGGCAAAAGAAAAATAAGAGGTGAAGGGGAAGGGGCATGCAGGAGCGGGAGCTTTGCAGGGACACAATAGTGTGGGCAGAGGACATGGCAGACAAGTGGGGATTTGCCCCAGGTTCAGCTCAGGGACTAGCCCAGGCCGGGGAGTCTGGGAAGGCTCCCTGGTTTGGGGACAAGCAGTGGTGGGGAGCAGGACCATGCTGGGCATTGCTGGGGGACAGGAGGCAGGCAGCCCACTTCTGAGGCCCAAGGGCAGCAGCAGAGGGGGCCCTTCTGGGGCTGCCATTTGCCCCCACGAGCTGAGCTTGTCCCATTTGGAAGAACAAGCCAGGCATGACTGTCCACCGGCACTTTGGGGGTCCCTGGCTGCCCATCAGGGCAGGGGCAAGAGCCCTGGCATGGGTGGCAGCTCACTAGGATGAGCACAGGAACAGGACACAGTGGGATTCCCATCCTTGGGGACATGCAGCCCCCCAGGACACACCTTGGAGCAGCCTGCTCTAATTGAGGTCTTGCACCTAACTTCTGCTTGGAGTGGGGGCTGGAGCAGAGGCCATTTATCCTGTGGTGGTGCCAAGGCTGGCTCTCGTGGCCAGCAGTGCTCTCCTTCAATGCCTGGCTTGAGCACCCCAAATTTGTGGGTCAGCCTTGGGGCCCAGTGGCTCAATGCCTGGCTTTGCCAGTGCCAGTGAAGCTGAGGCTAAGCGGGAGCTTTGGCACCATGGGGGGCTCCGGGGTGGTATCCTCCCTCCCACCTCATTTAAATCCCTGCAGCAAACAAAGGGACTGAGGAAATTAAATTCACAGCAAAAGCAGGTTGAGAGATGAGGGGAGATGTGAGCACGTCCTCACCAGTGTCTCCTCCCCTCCCAGCCCAGCCAGAGAGCAGGGAAAGCCTCTACCATCTCCCTGTCCTCCTTCTCTCCCTCTTCTCTACCCCACCATCCTCTCCCCAGCCCTTTCTCCACACTGCAGCCCCCACAGTCGACAAGGAGAAGACACTCAGGGGGACAGGAGACTTTTCCCCCGCCTCCTCCACCCCCAGTGGTCATGCTAACCTCTGCCGGGGCCGAGAGCATCTCTCCCCAGCCTGGGTCTCTCTTAGCCTGGCAGACACCAGCCACTGCTCTGTGTCCACCCCCTGCACGTGTCCAGCCCATACAGTGCAGGGACGAAATCCGGGTCACTTGAAGAGGTGAGCAGAGCCTGTAGCAGCCCAGCTCTGCCTCCGGGCACGGGAAATCTTTCCAGCCTAGCACCCCCACCTCACTCCTCCCTGTCTCCTCTCTGTGGCTTCGTTCCAAGGGTCCCCTGGGGTGACAGTCCTCCAAACCAAGGACATGCGTAAGCAGCACTGAGCCTGGCGCTCCCTGAAAGGATGCTCTTTGTAAAAAACACACCCCACCCTGTCCATCTTCCCCCCCTCCCCAAAGAAACCATCTCGGATTCAAACCCCAGAGCCCTCTGGTGATGGGGTTTCCTTTGGCAGTGCCAGCCAGCTCTGCTTTTATATTTTTCTGAGCGCTTCTGAGCTGAGCTGACAGTCGGGAGAGCTCGAAGGCGAAGGCAGGAAACCCAGGCCAATTAAGGCAGACAGGCAGTAGACACATCAGCTTTTATCTCGAGATCCAAGTACCCCATTCATCACCAGCGACTGAAAGGTCTGCGGTTTATCAAATAAAATCACTGTCTCTCTCCCTCTCTTTAAAGGCAAACACATTGACTTGGGTGCTGGCTGTGACCTTGTTTAACTAAACATCCTTTCAAGGTCCCCCAGAAGAGGGGGAAGGAGCCTTTTGAAGAGGCTCCAGCCTCTGCCTGCCACTCCCCGTTCATTAGCGGCAGCGAAGAAAAACCCCTCACGCACCCCTCAGCCGGGCGGGGGGAATACATATTTAATTGGCTAAATTGCCTTCGCGAGTCAGCCCTCCTGTGTGGCACTTCTTTGTGCTCCTTCCCATCCAATGGGACTGCCGGGCTGCCCAGGATGGACAGACGGACGGACGGGCGGCTGCTCTACCGGCAGCTGTCACGCTCTGCTTCTGGACGCGACCCCTCGGCTGGCCCAGCGTCGCCTTTACGGGCTGATTCCTTTCACACGGCCGCATCCCTTTGCAAATGCCTGGTTTGGCTGCTGCCTGCCATCAGTCTGGGC